CCCCAAAACCCCAAAACCCCAATAGTATTTATAGAGGTAAATGATTAAGATCAAATTAAAATTAATTCAGAATATCATTGATGGGAAACGCTGCTAATTGTAATGCCTGTTCACTAACGGAGCATGTGCCAGAATCAATACAGCACTCACAGGAAGATCTTTAATCGTAGTCAAATCACGACTCGGAGCTACATAACTCATAGAACTATACCTTGAATTAAAAATTCAGCAAAAATTACTCTAACTGCATGGGATATTCAAGACATAACTAAGATTCTGGACTTCAACTTCTCCGATAAGAGACTGAGGAGGTTTCTATACTTTCGAATTAGTATCAAGATAAAATCAAGGATGATAAGATACAGCATCACTGACGGAGATCTGACTAACTAAGTAGCAGTAAATATCAAGAGAAATCTGCTGTTGATAGTTCTAAGCATAGATAAAAATCCCCTGACGATAGTAGAGTCAATCATGTTAATTTCGATTTTTCTAAAAGCTAGATCTTGGAATATTCCTTTGCTGAAAATGAAATTAGTATAATTTAGCAGCAAGATCACTCAAGCGATGACAGTAAGCTTTTTAAAATAAGTTCTAGATAAATAGACGATGGATTAGTTATAGACGCCTAAAATAGAGATGTGAATCTTATACATCAAGAAATTTAGCAGTGATCAATTCAAAACAGTGCTCAGAAAATGAGACCCAAAAGAAAACGAAGAGTAAAGGAAGAAGACGAGAAAGTGATATTCGAGGGTGAGCTACTAAAACTAAGTGCAGGTGTGTCTAAAAACACTGCTATCAGTTAGTCTGCAAATTAAAATCACCAAGCTAATTCACAATATATACCCAGATGGGTACAATTGACAGAAAATAAATTCAGATACTTTAAAAGCTAGATTTAAGCTTATCAGCAACCAGGAAAGCCTTTACTCTCTATCCCCATTGAGGAAATAGTGCATATTATTAAAACTAAGGCGTCTAAAAATGAAATTTACATTGAGTTCATTATGGAAAACTAGCTCACACAGTATATACTAAAAAATAACTTGATTGAAAAGGTTTATAGTACTCAGAAAAAGCAAGAATCTCCAACTAGAATCAACAAGAATTACAGTCCTGATAGAGAAGTCATACCTGGACATCTAATGAGATTGCCTTTACAATCCCGTAATTCTACCTTGTAGTCGGGAGGGTTCTAGACAACTGTATAAAATAAAGTTTAGAACATTCAATCTAATTTTTCTCATCACATTCATGAAGAGTTTTTTTAAGCCAGTAAGAAAAAAAGGAAAATTGGAGGAGTATATTAGACTTTAATGGAGGAAACTGAACCTATAGAAACAAATCAATGGACTCAAAGAGAATTCAACTGGTTTGCTCTTGAAGAAGTTCTGCTATTTAAAAACAATAAAGACAATATTTAATTTGGGGATTTTGATTTCATTAATAAGCTGATTAAAAAGATCGACAAGTAAAAGTAAAAGCTACTTTAAAGAGATGTTTAATCATAGGTTATTACAAAAGAATAAAATGATAATACCAACTAGAAGCATAAACAGCATAAGATAATTAGAAACGAAATCTCTAAATTTGAAGATTAATAGCATTTTACATTCTCTGATAGCAAGAGATATCATTGAGCCTTTACTGGAATGCAAAAAGTATGAAATAAAATCATATATGAATAGATGTAAAACTTTTATTATTGATTAATTACTCTGAAAGATTCTAATTTTAGTTTCTAGGGGTTTTGGGGTTTTGGGGTTTTGGGG